ACTGATGAACTGAAAGATTCAGTAACACAGGCTATTTCAAGTTGGATATCTGAAGCGAAATACAAGTTGTTGTTTTTTAATGAAAACACTTTACAGTTTAGGCAATAAAATACTTAGATTAGGGGGAAATTAAAGTAGAAGTAATACAAGGAATGTTAGTATCCATTTGTAAATACTCAAACTATAATGAAAAAAGTGGAGTATTTTAATTAAAAACATGAGATACTATACTTGTTTACTTTATCTTTTTTTCTTTTTGCTTGTGCAAATAAATTTTAAAATATTATAACTGGGGCTTCTTAAGTGACTGAAGCCATAAATCTTACTTTTGTGTGCCTATTCATCTCAGGCTTTTAGACAGTAACTAAGAAGTACCCTGAAAGAACTATAGCATCGCATCACTCATTTAAGGTTGACACGATGGCACAGCCATCAGCAGGAGAGGCTTTTTAAAAGTAATGACTCTTCAATATTCTGAGAGGCAAAGATAAAATAAAATTCCTAATGTTGTTTTGGTCAGGTATAATATTAGCCAGATTCCTTTGTCAGTGATGCTCTAAGTTTTTCCCCCCAATATGCACATGAAGAAAATATGGGGGCAGGGGGTTGGTTTGCTTTTATTTTTATTTTTAAATATTACATGTTCTGTTGGAGGAAAATATGTTTTGACCCCAGGTGGTTTGTTTCCAAAGTGGGAAGATATAAAAGATGCCAGATGATTGGTGAAGGATTAAGGAAGCACTTTATTTTGTCCAAGATCAACCAAGAATGTTGTGTCACCTTTGTCACCTTTTTACAAATTTCTATTCCATCAAAATTCCTCTTTTAAATTACAAATTAAAAAAATTATTCTCCCCATAACCTAATTTTTTTGTCTCTATGAAGTTCAGAAATCTTTTCAGTCCTGGTTCAAGAAAATGTTCATTAGGATTTTCCAGAGATATTAAGCAAATAGTTTATTCCTGATCAAATAATCAAACTTTGCATTATTTCTTTTTGCTCTTCACAATCTTGATATTCCAATGGTATTGCAGGATTTGATATTTCAATCTTCGGCATTCAAAAGGAGCCTTCAAAGTTTTTGCCAGTCTGCTTTCTATATCCCATAAAGAGGTATCATTCAGGATTTCCTGTTGTAGCTGTTTCATCTCCAGATCTTTTCCTTGATTTATCCTTTGTATTTCCATTTTGGTAATCTTTAATTTAATTGACTTCCATTGTTCAAACTCTTTATGTGAGGTAACAGTTTTTTTAGGTTTTTCTCATCATATAACAATTTTTCCACTGAACTTTCTATCCTTTCTGAGATATTAATACCTTAGTCCAATTTTTTTAAAAAAATTATTTAAGATAAGAACAAGTTAAAGCCAGCTTAGCCTTTTTAACTCTTTCCTGCCTTGTTCTATAGTTCCGTCTAGGGTCCATTTGCAGCTTTCATCAATCCTCTGTTGTTAGTATGGACTAGGTTCCATTTCAATAATTTCCAATGTGTATATTATTATATACTTGTTTTTAAAACCTTATAATAAAAGTAACCAATATTCAAAAACCTCTGGTCTTCCAGTTGGCTGAGCCCAATCTGGCCTTCTGGTGTGAGTCATGGGTAATTAAAGATATGGAGACAGTGACTGCTTTGAAAAAGAAAGGTCAGCGAGTAGACTATTCCTTCAAAGCTCTCTGGAGGAGAAAACAAGAGATCACCCAACAGTGCTCTGAATGGCACCATAAAACAGGTCTCCCATGGGTTTGAGTCCCAAGAGCTGATGGAGATGACATCTTTGTTCTCAATAGGGGCAGAGCTTCTAATAGGAACTGATACTTACTAATCATGTTCAATATTGAGTTTAACCACTTTATGAATATTAGAGATTTTCAAAACAGTGAGGACAATTTGAAACTTCGTGAGTTTCACCTTCTTTTTTGGATTTAAGACACTTTAAACGGAGAATTAAGAATTTAAAATCATATACAATATGCAATTGGCAAAAAAACAAAACAAAAGAATTTTGATTTAGAATATGTTAAATCCAAATTCAAAGCTCCACAATTCTTTTCCCATTTAATCTTCTATATGCTATTGGGACAAATCATATATTATCATAACTTTATTCCTAGAATTATTACAGAAAAAAATAAAAGCAGCTTTTATTTTTTATTGTGAATATTTCTATTAACACAGTGCTATGAGATGTGCACTTGAAGAAAGAGTAGGGGGGAATTCTCAGCATCACATCAGCTGATAAATAATCAGAGTTGGAAGGGACCTGATAGGTCATCTAGTCCAACCCCCAACCCAAGAGGGAGACCCTACACTATTTCTGACAAATGGCAGTCCAATCTCTTCTTGAAAGTCTCAAGTGATACCTGGGAAGGAGGCAGCACATTCCAGAGAGAAGCCTAAATTAAGAGACTGTGAAGTCCTGAGTTGGATGTGGGAGGGATGAAGAAGTTCAAAGTAGCCACACCTTAGAATCTCTCAGGGTGTATCTGTTAAATTAGAAGGTTATAGCTTCTAAGTTTTTAGAGTTCTACATTGTGATACATTGAAGATTTTTTAAATATTTCATACATACAAATAAATGAATAAATAGTTTGTATCACCAGAATAAATTAATACTTCTATCTCTGACAAGATATAACAGGCTGTACTTGGCTTTTAATTTTAGAAATACAGTGTACAGAGTTCAACCAGATTCTTCTGTTTGGCTACTGAGACAGAATAAAACTATTTTGTCCAAATGTTATCCAATCTGTTTTAATGTCTCTAGTTTCATGCAGGTTGCTCTGATACAGAAAATTGTATGAAAAAAGGCAGATTAGCAAGAGTATTAGTTGGATTCAGAGTTCATGGTTTTTTTTCTATATTAGTCTGCTGAGTTCAATAGTCTGTTGTTCATTTGTACAGCCTTACTTCTCAGTTCATCAGACTGTGATTAAAGCATTAGTGGTTCATTCTTATATAAGTGTACCAACCATCCTCAGTTGCTCCAGTTATATAAGAATGAAAGAGGTAATGCAGAATTAATTTAAAGCACCTTATTCAGCAGAGAAAATTGCCAAAGGTATAGTATTATATTACTGAATGTGTTTAGAATTCTGGTATCTATGCCATGGGAGGCTTGCCTTCTGCTGTAGAAGTAAAAAATCTTTTATATATAAACGGAACAAGATCGGCAAACACCATCCAACAATTCCAGGAGACTATATTTTAAAAGTTTTATTTTAGCAATGTAAGCATTTCACCATAATTCAGAATGTACATTCCAAGCAGTCCTCCTTGTCATTGGCCAAATAACAGAAGAATCTTGGGAAGCAGTTTTTTAGAAGAACCTTGATGAAAAGGAAGATGGGCCTTTGAACCTCTTCCTCCTTCACCCCAGATCTCTCTTATTTGCAGTGTTAACTTACCTCATCTTCATTGATATAGAGGAGTAAGGAGATTGCCTTGAAGAAAATATATGGCGGCCATTAAGAAAGCACAAACTTAGCCCAAGTAAACTTAGCCCAGATAAACATGAACTTAGCTCAGGATGGTGAGACAAAGAAAGTTGCTTTGATTATTTTTGATATATAGAGGGAGGTAAACAAAACACTCTCGGGCTTTCAAGAAGCTGTCATTTGTATCAATAAATTCTAGTTTTACTATTTCTTGTAGTGTTTGCTTCCTGACTGGGTCTTACCCCAAAGGGGTAAGATGGTTATTTTAATGTCATAATCATTTATCAAGATCTGACAGATATTCATTTTGTCCTTTCCATGAATATAGGTATTACAATAATATTAGATAAATATCCTCAAAAATTCTCCATCTCTTCATATCTTTTATTGGGATTTCTTGTCTCTTAACATAGCCTGCCACATGAATTTCTTTCAAATTCCATCTCCAGGACAACTTACCAACCCTTTATTATTGTCTATTAATTTATTCTGTAATATCTATCATTCATGACTTGGCTTTATGATGAAGAACACTCAATAATGATGAAAATAGTGTTTGTTCAAATTAAATGAGTACAGAAAGAATTCATTCATAAAATTACAGATTGCTTAATAAGGTATCCTATTTTATAACTAATCCGCACATCATCTAATGTTTGAGATTTAATGCAGTATTCTAGGGACTGTTTTGTGCATCATGCATTAAAGAATGTTAACTTTTGAAGGATTCTGATACTGAAACTATAGTCTTTTTGGTGATTTGTATATAAGCTCAGAAAACCTTAGACATACATGTGCTGAGAGAAAAGACAATGTGAAGCTTCTAGCTATGGTTTATAATTTGCATTTTTAAATATTCTCTGACAATGAGAAATTAGAGTTATAGAATTCAGAATTAGTTAAAGATGCAGAAAATCTCAGTTATGGCCTCAGACTATTCTCCACTGAATAATGCTTTAAATTCTGTTAAGGTATCACAGAATATCCAAGGCAACTGTGAGTTCAGCAGTTCATGAACCATGTATACTTTGGATCATTATGTAAAACAGACTCGGTGCTCTAAATCTTTGAATTTCTGAAAACACTGTGGTTACCAAAAGAACATTTACCATGGGAATCATAATTATTTCTGTAAATATGATACAATTATTGTACTTGTATATTATTGTTATTCTCTACATCCTTCTGAATATACTAATAAATTATATAGTTAATAATACCATTTCCTGCAATTTATGAGATTTAGTCCCTGAAAGCTTATGTCATGTATATTTGTGCCAAGGAGCTTTAAGATTCTGTTGTTTTTGTTATATGACTAAACCTTATATGCATTTGAATGAACATTAGCATAATTTTAATAAAAAATAAGCAAATACCATTAGTTTTTTTTGTCAGCTGACCACATTTCCTGAATATCTATTTTCTACATTATTTTATTACTGAACTAGTGAAAGATGGAAAACAGAACATTGCAATATAATCTAAGATATAGATTTTAATCTCTTGTATCCTTCTTTTCTCTTCTAGGTGGAACGGGAAATAGCCATCTTGAAGTTGATAGAACATCCCCATGTTTTAAAGCTGCACGACGTTTATGAAAATAAAAAATATTTGTAGGTATTATTCATTGACATTTAATTATTATTAAACAAATCTGTACGGTAGACCAACTCACACACCGTGACTTTGGGTGACTTATAACATATTAAAGAATAAAATACTACATTGGGAGTGGGAGGCCATTGAACATCTTAGTGTGTGAGGTAGACAAGTCAAATCAACAGAAAAAGACTAGTGAATGACTCTTTCAATATCATTCTGTGAACCCATGGATGAATTAACATTTGAAACTTGTCAAATCTGTCAATTCCACAATTGATAAATTAATAGAATTCTTATTTTTCCTTACATTTCTCTAAAGCAGAATTCCCTAGTTTGGTAGCTTTCAGATGAAAGTTAAAATATATCTATGAGGACATCAAGCTGGGAAAATCTGCGCTGGAATTTGAAAGGAAGTATATTTCTCAAAGCTAAAAGAAGTATTATTATACTCAAAAGTTGTTTAAGATTTAAGACCTTTTTTGGTTCTTTCCCTCACAATAGTGATGTTTTGTTTATTTTTACTGACTCTTTATTTTACTGACTTCATGGGGCTAATGAATATATTCATTGTCATTTTCTAAAGGGGAATTTGAATTACAGGGTTTTCCCAGGTTTAATAGCAACAGACGAAAGAATTGTAACTGTTGCCAGATACATAAAATATATTAAGACATTTTATGTTTTCTTACCATGTTTTACAATTTATAAAAGTGAAATGGGAAATAAAATTCTAATTAAAGATAAGACAGAATTAAAATGTTAAATATAAAAACAGTTGAACAGTGCAACTCATCTCAGCAGATGAAGTAGCTTGAGGAATATCTGCCTTGCATTCTCATCAAAAATATATGTATAAAGCTTGAAGCTCACCAGGCAGAATATCAAAAGCCTCAAGAGACTTATAAAGAGGAATATAGCTTTTCAAATTGCCTAGGTGCATGACATAGGTTATAATGTCTTATGTCCCCCGCCATAGATAATTGGCAGTGGAGTTGTTTTAACAATAGATTTTACATATTCCCCGCAGTCGTTCCCAGTCAGTAGTTTAACAGCAGTATTCTGAACTCATTGAAATTTCTGAATCTTTTTCAAAAACAGTTCCTTCCTACAAGGGAGGTCATAGTAATCCAGAGGGAAGTAGTTAAGGCAAGGCCAGATTGGAACTGCTGTACAGTATTATTTCCAGAAGGAGATATAGCTGGTGCACCAGCTTTAGATGAGACTTCTACCTAACTCACAAACTAAGAATGGAGTTCAAGATTGATCTTCTTACCTGACCATGATGGCTTAATTGTTGATGTTTTAAGATTTATTAATATTGCATCAGCTTTATAGGTTTTAGAGAGATTTTGTAATGCATTATTATATTTTGTTTATTATTACTTATTTATTTAACTGCACTGGCAGGCTTGGAAGTAGATAAATGTAGGAGTATATCCAAACTATGAACTTGAGTCTTCAAGAGGAATGGGATGCTATCACAAGTAGTGTTCCCATTCTCATCTGCCTTTCAACGTAGGGAGATCACTGATTTCTTTGGCTGGAGCTTTAAATTAACTTTCTCTTAGAAATCCTATTACCAGGCATCATCATCTATTGATTTGGAACATACACAATTTTATTGTATGCAAAATACAAAAAAATGTAAACGTTTCCGACATTATGACAAGCAAAGAAGTGAGTAAGATTCAAATTCGCCTACCTGGGCTGTAGGTAGCCTTTTCAAATATCACGTCTCTTTGAAAATGAGATTCCTAAACCAAGGGGAGAATATGGAATGGAAGTAATGATCACATATAAACCATACAACTAGAACAACAAATTATTATCAAAGAAAATTGATCCATAAATTCAAGAATTAGCTGTAGAAGGTGAAGCAGTTCATTTTTTCTCTCTTTCTCTTTCTCGAAATACTTTTCCACAATGAACTGCAATATCAGAAAAAAATAATTTCATGTATTTATTTATTTATAAAATTTATAGGCTGCCCATCTTACCTCAAGGTAATTTGGAAAAACAACAGGAAAAAATATTCTCAGCTTTTTGTTTATATAGACACACGTGACTTATCTGCCTGTTCCTGGATTATTTTAAGGATAGCTATTAGCAGTATACAATAGCTGATTATAGTTATCTTCTCTTAATGATCCCATAATCCCTTGTGGGGTGGAGTCTGGGCAACTGAATGGAGCTGAGTGTTTACTGGCCAGATGCCCTTCCTGTTGCCAATACGGAGTTTTGTTCAGCAGATATAGTCTCATTGTGCCCAGAGGGAAAAATATGTGCCTCTACCCAGACTCCTGATTGTGAGGAGAGAGCTCCACCTGTAAAAACTAAAAAAAAATCTACAATCTGGAGGTGAGTAACTGAACTCCAGAGAAATAGTAGATAGTCACCCAGTAAAAACAGTTTAATGTCAGAATTTATATATATACCCTGATGATGGCAGATGAATGGTGCCACCATTCTCCCTCACCAGACTCAAACCCAAACCCATCCCATAGACGAAAGACAACCACCATCCAGAAACCAGACCACAGCTGCATCACAGGCTGCCACACACCCCGACCCCCAAACCAAGCAAACGTACACACGCCATGAACACATAGTCAGGCCTCAAACTCGGAGCCAAACCAAAACCCGGAATGTCACATTACAGCCACCCGCTCAGGATATCACATCACAGAACTCAGGAGGTTACACCATAAAACCTCAGGATGTTGCAACACAGCCAACGACCCAGGAGATTACAGCACAAGACCCAGGATGCCACAACAATAGAACTCAGAAGGTCATCACACAGCCCATTACCAAGGTCGTTACAACACAGGAGGCTGATAGACACACAACCAATACCTCAGCCACACATGTTCTTACGAAAAAGCCAGCCAATCTGCAAACATCAACTCCATCAACCAATCAAGAAATGACAACACAGCCAACCTCCCCACCAGTATATATAGGGAGACGGCAGCTCCGATCACGCTTTGCTCGCACAAGCACGAAGCCAAAAGCACCAGCCTGAAGAGGGCGAGTGGGACCTCATCAAAACATTGCCAAGATGCTCTCAATCTTACATGGGAAAAGACCCAAGCACGCCAAGACCTGCATACTCGTACCCGTGAAAATCTACAAATATAATATATGGAAGAAATACACACACACATATGCAAATAGGAAAGAGTGCTAGTCACCGGGAATAGAAATGTTCTTTTAACATTTGTATTGTGCATTTCCTAATACGTAATACTGCATTAAATGCACAACATTAGGCATGTCTGCTTAGAATTAGAGTCAGTTGGGTTAAGGCACCAGGCTCAAAACGAGGAGACTCAGAATTTCAGTCTTGCCCTTGTCATGAAGCTAGCTGGGTGTCCTTGGGCCAGTCATTCTTTCTCAGTCCTAGGAAGGAATCAGTGGTAAGCCACATCTGAAACCTTGCTAAGAAGACTACAAGGATTACCCTAGGCAATCTGAAACTGACTTGTAGCTCCTCCCACTCAAAAAATGCACTAAAATACACGTCTGATGTTCTGTATTTGATCCCTTGCTAACTTGCATGGTTTCCAGGCTCTACCCACTTTCTCACTGAAAGTTATCAAATATTACGGGAAGGGTTTTTCTCCTATCTTCATTTCCTAATTGATTTTTTTTTTTAATGGAAAGAAAAATAAGAGAAGAAGCACTAGGAAAAAGCCATTTTAAAACAGAAGAAACTTTACCGACTTTGTAAAGTTCTGTGAATAAAGCAAGTTATTTGCATCATAAAAGTCTTGATCTGGAATCTAATTAGTAGGATTGTGCAAGGCATTGGAAAGAGGCCCTTTGTAAGAGACAAGACCTTTCTTAAAAGAAAGTATCTATCTCTATCGAAATTTGGTGCAGCTACTTTGAAGACTTTCTCTGGCTGTCTGCACAAACGTATATACAGTATGAACAAATAGCATGCTGTTCTATGGGGGAACACCAGCAAAACAAAGTGGAGGTATAACCAGCCAAAAAGGTTCTGAAGCTGCCTTAGAACCTTCCATTAGACCAGGGGTCTGCAACCTTAAATACTCAAAAAGCCAATTGGACCCATTCCCCATAGAAAAGAAAACACCAGGAGCCAATAATTTAACAACTGGTGTGACTGGGTGGGTGTGGCCAACTAGAAGTCACTCACTCCCACCCAGTCACCTCCTGCTCTGGAAAATGGAGCAAGTCTCCATCCCCCGCCATCACCCTTATCTTCTCAGGCCAGGCGAGGAGTGACGAGGAGGGGAGGGGCTAGCCAGCAGTGGGATCAGCTGACGGAGCCACAGTAGAGGGCCAAAAGAGCCACATGTGGCTCCAGAGCCAGGTTGCAGACCCCTGCATTAGACAGAGCTGCTTTACTGTTTTGGATAGACCTGTTTCACTCATACCAATATGTTTCACAACATGTCTTTTTCAGATGCGTAATAATTAGCCATACAATCATATTGACCCTATAAGGCAGATTATGCTGTATCATAGCAACTGAGCCCAGATTGGAATCAAAATTCCTCATATCCATGTATAATACAACAGCTACAGAGCCATCCTGGCAATATTAGATAGTGCTTCTAAATAATTGGGCTTTACTTTACAAAAGATTGATGCCACAATAAATGTGCTTAATATCAAGGTACTTCTGTACTTTCTTGTGTTTTTTTTCTCCCCCAGAATCACAAAACACACTAGATTGACACAGTGTCAATCAGTGCCATTTGGGGATTTATTATCATATATGACATTTGTTCCCCACTGATTAGATTTAAGGGATAGGAGACTTTCTCCATCCTGATTTGGTCCTTGCTGCTCAGAATATCTTTTCATCCCCAACAGAAATCATAGCAAGATGTGGGGGGGGGACCCAAAGTCCATAAATAATCAAATTGTGTTTGAAAAATGCATTGTGGTCAAACTATCAATCACTTTTGAAAATATTAGACCTAATAGCACTGCATACTAGTTGTGTAAATCTAAGGATTTGAGGTGCTGAAATTTC